GAGAGAGTAGAATGTGAAGTATGGAACAGGAAAAGTTATCCAACTGGAAAATCCAACTACCTAAGCTGACTGTGGAAGGAGTAAATGAGTATGTTAAGACTACCCCTGTTTGGAAAGAGCTAACTGAAGCCAGACATCCAACTAATAGTGTTGGTAAAATCCCCCGAAATGTGGAAGTTGGGTAAAATACAGACCACCTGACAAAAGACATACGGAACTCAAACAAGTCCAAAGAGCAAGGCACGAAACAGGTACCAAATCACGTGGTTAAAAAATAAACGTAAGAAAGCATCCCGAGAATTGAAAAACAAGAATGTGTACCGTGAGCATTCTCAGTTCTGCAGAAATAGCCTACCCAAATGTGATCAAAGATTACATATTAAAATGGAGAAGACCCAAGAAGTGATTGAGGCGGGACTGATCAATCCAGAACTCCAATCAGCACCAAACATACACAATGAATGGAGAAACCTATAGGTAAGACAGGAAGGAGACAGACATGTAAAATGAATAAAGATGGCAATGTCTCAGATTGAAACAAAAGAGCAACTAGAAAAAAAAATTAATAGAGCATTGCAGATACCCTACACGTCACTAAATGTACAGGAGTAGCCACAAAAAATGGACCAGTGAATAAACAGAACTGACTGGAAACCACTATTAGCAGTGGATGGTAAACAAATAGCAGTGTCCCAACCTAAAAGTTCCCAGATGCAAAGAAGCCAACGCATGGAGGGAAAGAACTGAAGATGGCAAACACCCCAACATGGAGGGACGAAGGAAGAGGTAACCAACAAAAATCCCAAATATAAGCGGAATATCTAAGAAAGGTAGTGGAAGGTAAATATTACCTGTAAGAGAGTTGACAGGGTAATATAAAGCTGAAAAACTGGGTAGGGGATAAAATGGATTAGAGTAACAGAAATCCAATTGACATATAATCAAGAAAAAAATCTGCCTGGTGGTAAGCTAAGGAAAAAAGAATCAAAGTCAGAGAAAAAGAAGAGGGAGAATATACTGTGAAACATAGCTAAACAAAAAACTGAGATAGGCCTAACAGATTCTGCAGTAGAGGCCTGGGAAGACAAGCCATGATCAGGTGGAGGAAAACTGACAAAATCTAGGTTGTCTGAAATGGGTTCAGCCATTGTAGGAGGAAGGCAAGCAATAATGGAAGCAGGTAGGGTGGACCCTGAGGGCCCTCACAAATGAAATTAATGTTAAGAAGTATAACAAATTGTAAAAGAATGACAAAAATGAAATAATTAATATATTGCAAATGTTAAGAAATTGAGTAGTGAAATGAACATATGTATTAGATGTTATGTGTTGAAGAAAAGATATTGAACCTAATTATGATTGATCCTTCCTGGCCTGCACAGATCTGGTTTTCTCAACTGTTTCAGCTCAGTATGCTGTTTTACTTCTGACTCAGTTTCATTAACCTACATTTTGGTAGCTTTTTTAGTATATTCTTTTCGACTTTCTTGTTTCTTGCCGTCTTGCACTTTTATTCTCAGTCAGATCCAAATGACATTCTCTGTCCAATACATGCTGTGGGTTGCTTCAATACTTTCAAGTCTTCTTTCCATTGAATCCATTTGCCATGATTTAATTCCCTCACACCACTTTTTTGTCTGCAGTTTCTTTTTCCCTTCCACCCTTATCCAGTTGGGTTTGGATTGTGAATTGATTGGCCTTTTATTCCTTATCTCCTTCTTCCCATCATCATTTACTGGTATTTTCACTTCGATCATGCACCTTCCATTTTCCTTGCATATCAAACCTGTCATCCATTGGAGGTACTTCATCTGTCAAGCACTGGGACTACACCTCATATGTTCATCTCCCACTCTCTGCCTTGGGTAGCTGTTTCTTCCTTGTAGGGGTACGGTCATCCACCTGTTGCCATCCTTCACTTTTCAGTGAGAATGCGACTGGGTAAGATACCTTTATATATATATATATATATATGTGTCCCTTTTTTCTTTATAGATTCTCCTCTGTGGCAAGTGGTGCCTGTCCAAGTATACTTAAACTAGTCAAATCTGCACTGTAAGGCCATGATGAGTTAACAATTATAATTTCCATGGCCACTAAATGCACACTAATGAGAAGGGGTGTTCCACAAGATTGCTTATAGGTTTGTCCTTACAATATTTTTTCTTCATTAATGTGCCCGACCCTGCCATGCCTTAGATTGAATAAAGCAGGTGTGGTCTGGTTTTCAAAATAGGGTTTTTGTGGTCACCCATTGCACCATCTCGGGTGTTGTTATTTCTACAGACTCTTTACCACAATTTCTCTCCCCTTTTTTCTTCCAGTGGAGTATGGAAGTCCTTACCACTTTCCAGTTCGAAGCTGCTGGGGTGGTGGACCATGGAGGCATCCTCCTGAATGTGCTAATGATAAAATATACATATAATGATAAAACCATTCAGTTGAGAGTAAGGTGGTGGTGTTCTGTTGGTGTAGATGATAAAATGTCTTTCACTATGTATAATTGGATTGAACCATCAGAATTGTAGTTCACCCCTTGATTAGGATCCCTCATCTTATCTCCACATGTAGGTCAGTTCCCAGTGATGGGTTTTGGATTTAGAGCGGTTTAATTAAATGTCAGATCATTATATTTTGGGTAATAAGCAGATTATACATAAAAAAAAGCAATACAGTAGCTGGTTAGATAATATAAAATTTCTGTATTTCTAAGACATTTTACAACAAACATATATTCATGAAAAAATTAGCACAACTACAATATAGCCTTTATGATAACCCTTATGCAATTTTTCAATCAATTTCTATCTTATTCCTAATATTTAAAGCAAATATTCAAGATCTTCTGAAGTTACCCATGTAATTCTAACCACTTCTTTTAGTTAATTAAATATACAACTTTAGCTTAGTTTCTTATTGACCTTTTGAGATATCTGTATAAAATCTTAAATCAGTTACATTAAATGAATTACCATCCTTAATGAATTATCTTCATCCTTTTATGATATTTAGCATTTCATGTTCAAAGCGATAAATGTTGAAACTCTTCTAGGTAAATAATGATTTTAAGAGTATCACTACACTTGCTGTCAGTTAGAAAGATCCTCAGTACATCTTGTTTTGTTCATTACCTATAGATTATTAATGATCATTTTGAATACTATAAATGGAATATCCATAAACATTAAGAGTTACATGATAAGAAGTTCTATAAGAGAATTTTTATTTATTGTTGTGTTAATGGTGAGGTTACATGGCTATCAAGTGTATGATCAATGCTGAAGTTTCAGAAGGAAAACATAAATGATATAAATCTATGAAATATGGTTGTTACGGTCCCAATTGATACTAAAAATTGAAAATGTTAGTTTACTAATTGTGGTCTTTAAAGGTAATAAAGGTAAACAATAATTGGTTATAAACTGCAGTGGTGATCACAAAATTAAGGAAAACATGAACAATATAAGACTATCATCCTTGAAATTTATTCAACACAAGAAAACGTGCTTAATAGAAATTTCTCAACAATGATGGTGATGAGTTTTATGAATAGGGCAATTTCCTAGATAAACTGTTTTAACCTTGATTGTAGGTCTTCTTGTAACTGAATTTTTTAAAAATTTAACAAATATTTTTGAAAATCATACAACAGCATTGAAACTAATGAAACAAAGTACGTAATCCTAGCATTACATTACATCTGAAATAAAATGCTTGAAATTGCATTAATCAAAATCGTTTTTCTTTATAATTTTGGACTTTGTATTTCACACATAAAATTATATTTATCAAAAAATTTAAATGTTCACATTTTCCTTACCTGAAAGTCATAATTTTCCTGTGCTGAAAATATATTTCCAATAGGTACTTACTTCCTCTTACATGAATAGCTATTCTCGTTCAGTGCTGCCCTCTATATGAAAATTTTTTTCTGCATGCCACAAGCCTTGAGCTCCACGTAACTTACAATCAACTGATTCAAATGAGTCTTGCATGCTAATCATCACGTGACAACCCTCCACCAATAAGAGTGTGATACACTCCTGATGGATGTGTCTCCCTCTATTCAATTCTACCGAACTATCTTTTCTAGTTTTGGCAGAAAATGGAAGCACCAGTTTTCAGTGGGGAGGAAGGGTGAGAAGTGTGAAAAGAGTTAAGTATTTATCAGAAATATATTTTCAGTATAGGAAAATTATAACTTCTGATACGGTACTCTACATAAATATCTAGAATCCCACATTGAATAGATGAAGGGACCAGTGATATTGGAAGAAAGAAGCATCTTTGGAAAGTATCCAAAGGACACCCTAAAAGAGTAGATCCTTGCAGTAGAGGATCATACATAAGAGACCACGCCTCTTCTGTACCAGTGTGGAAAGAGGTGTTGCAGAAATGGGTGGAAATTGGGAGAAGCACATCCAAAAGGGAGAGAACAATGGTTGGATAGGGATTTGAACCTCAATCCCCAAGAGCACATCAATGTGGGTGAGAGCAAAAGGATGTACCTCCAGGTGTAGAGTGGCTGGGGCATGACAGACCATACAAGGCAAGTCAACTGCATCCAAAACCCAGGCCGTTGGGAACCAACATCCACACAGGGTAGGATGAGGATCGTACTGTCGGTAAGTCAATTACAATCTAAAACCCTGCCACTAGGAACTAATATCTATGTGGGGGTAGGAAAGAGAATCATACTGTCTTCACCACAAGTTCATCAGACCAGAGGGGATCTTATATCCCTCCAATCTATGAATGGGACCTATTATAGCAATGTGAAAACTGATTGGCCAATCTGAAAACCCATCTTCTGGTATCATAAAGATGTCTTTGTAATGTAAACCAACTCATTCAAAACCAAACAAACAGTAACTGCCTCTAGCACAGTAACAGCCTTGGTGTAATAAAATTAATGAGGGATAGCGTAAGAGGAAGAAGAGTATACAGTGTAATTAAGTGAGGAAACAGAGACACCTGTAATATATTTGTGAGGACTTACATTAATTGCTTCCACTGACCTGTGTACCATAGTGATCAGGAACATAACCAGTACGAAAGTAAACCACAGCAACTTCTTGGTTTTTCCTTCAATAATGGATAAGAATATTAAAAAGTGACTAAAAATCACAAGTAATTTCATCACTAAGAAATAAAAAAATTTTTTAGCAGTAAAGAAAAATTGAAGAGTCATTTAATCTTACCACAACAAATATTTCTTCTTTATTAATAACTGTTCATTTAAAACAGTGTTTAAGCCTATATACAGGGGTGAGGGGTCAAAGTGTGCCTGCCATGAAGAACGCCATTCAACATGGTATGTATTTGATGCCAAAGTTATCAACTATTCACTTTATCCTAATTGCCAATTCAGCAACAGTTGCTGACAGATGAGTAAATATTAGATACAATACACAGGAACAGTGAAGAAAATTGTAGATATGCATTTCTAGAGAATATGCACCTGCAATATCGAAACTACAATGGACAAAATCATCTTTTTATTCTTCACATGAACATAAGTGTATCTTGCATTCTGACTTGTCAATTTGAATCAAACTGACAATGTAAATTCACAGATATATCTTGAGTATAAATACTTTTGTAACACATATTTTTTGTCTACAACAGACTTGTACATTTTACTCAAAGCTTACCATATTTCGTGTAGATACACTTAGTAAATTCAGAATTATAGTCAACTCCATTGGAGGGTTGGTCCAAAGGACTGACCATGAGCACATTCAGTTAACTCATCTCCATATTAATGAATAAAATAAAGTTTAGATTGCCCTATAGAACAATTATTTATTATCCCATAGCCTATGTAAGGTGATGTGTCTCGTTAACTCTTGAAGTGTAAAAACAGCATAACAAAATATACACTTTATTTTATTATCCTCATTTAGAGTTTAATATAGCAATTGTCACTAGGCTGAAAGCTTTCAAGATAGAGAAAATAGGACAATAAATTTGACCAGTTGTGGTGAAAAAAGTGGACACTCAATAAATACATCTTGAAACTAATTTGTTTTTGCTATTATGACAGCTTTTGCTTAGCAGTTTGGAAATTTATACAAATTTTCCAGGTCCAGCATAGACCATCTTTTTCAGTTTTTAATGAATAAAATTTTTAGTTGAAGTAATCTGAACTTCATATGAATACATATATTGACTTAAAATACAGGTTTATTTTAGATTACAAAAAACAGATCATTGGTGTAAAGTCTTTAGCAATTTAGCAAATCTTTAATGTTTTTACCGTCACATTTACAGATAAACAACTCCACCCAGTACTTGGTATATTTTCAGGTATATAATTAAAAAGCAAAGACTAGTTTTATTATTTCATTACTAATCTGAGACTGATAATCTTTGGGGAATGCCGTTTCTTTTATGATAACACTCTAGAAGGGACATGTATGTGCCCATGGTGTGAAAAAGTGAAAATATATGTTTGTATCCTTTATTTGTTTAATGAAAAATGTCTGCCAAATGAATGTCAACCAAAAAAAGTATCCTTTATAGTTCTGAAGCTGCTATTATATGTCAGTATTGACTAGTATTTATTGCCTGCTAAATACATTTTTATGATCCAAGCATATGATTATTTTGCATTGGAAAAGGCTATCACACACTTTCCCAAAAGCAATAAATTTTGCTGGCATTACACTACCTACAAAATGTAGTTCTGATACAATCTATTCCACCTCAACTTTATGTCAGCTATGCTTGTCACATGGCTTTTTGACCTGCATATCTAAAATCATTGTATCTTAACATACCCAAACCTCTGTATTGTCTCACACTCCAGTTTTAAAATGGACAGCTTCTTTTGTACAATGGAGGCATTTGTAAGTATAACTACTGTTTAGCCCTATTTTGTGTGAAAAGATGATTTTAGAAAAGAGAGAAAAAAAAAAGTGATATTTTGAAAATATTCGTTTGAAAGTTACTGGATCACCTATTAAGACAAAATTATATATGTTCTTAACATGATCCTCAGAATTTATTATTTAAAGTATCAGCATCATTTCTTAAAACAAATTGCAAAACAGTTGATGTTTCTTTACTCAATATTCTGATGACTTGATAATTCAGTGAAATTTTCATTTCACTGTTCAAATGGTAGTGATATGTTACAGAAAAACCAGTTGTTTTGACCTGGTAAAAAGGAAAAAGGAAGAGCTACTTGTACAATGAAAAAAGATAAATTCTATTTAAATATAGTTTAAAGACAGTCTCCTTCAATTCACTAATTATGCTCTAAGGCCACTGTGAAAGGGTCCATCAAAGTTATTTCCAAAGCTCACCACTCCTCCCTGCAGGTTTTGCTTTCCATAATTTGTCTAGTATATTGTTTTGTAATTAAGCACAAAGCTACACAACGGGCTATCTGTGCTCTGCCCACCACGGGTATCGAAACCCGAATTCTAGCGTTGTAAGTCCGCAGACACACCGCTGTACCACTGGGGGCTGTCTAGTATATGACAATGAAAGTTTTACAATGGTCATTTCAACAGTCTGGTAACAGAAATCCACCGGCATTGTATTCATTGAATTAAGCAGTATTTTTTTTTGTATGGAAAGCATGAATATCAGTTTCATTGCCCAGCTGCATGAGGTATGCAATGGTTGAATAGGAAGCCTTATCTTGGTGAACCCAATACTCAGTTGGCCTCATTTACAGGAGTATATTCTTTTTGATTATGTTACATATGGCTGCCAGGGGCATGTGTTCAGCTTTTGATACAGACTTTTGTGTTCATGGATTCTCACCTATACAAGATGCTGAAATTTGTTTATCACATTTAGGGTATGATTTGTTGCAGGTGTTTTTCTGGATAATTCCAGTGCCTCAAGTACAAGCTATATCTCTGAAATAGAAACTACACTGCAAGACTATTGTCAAGATGCATGGTTGTCAGATAGAACATGACTAGGCATTTCGACATGGATTTTAACAATATGGCTTGACTCCAAAATCATATTAATATATTATGCTCAACCTCTATAGTTTTCATGAATTACCCACTATACTGAAAAATTGTATTTGATTTTAGATGTTTATTTGGGACCATTAGCTGATGGTGCTGTTTAATTGGTGTAGATAACCAGTACTGTATTTGGAAGTATTCGTTGATGACATTACTTAACTGAAGCATAACCACTGCTGTATATTCTAGGAATGGTAATATTAATTGATGATTTTAAATGGTAGAAAATCTATTACTGTTTTGTCATTTAGAAATTGGAGCACCGGTTGTTAATACTAAAGAACGGCTCATATTTTGTCTCCAATGGCTTGAAACTATAGGTAGATTTTCCTTCCAGGACTGGAAATTGCGGCTTTTAATTGAGAAATCTCGAGCCATCAAGTGTCCCTCCATACAGTATCACTTGGCAGGAACTAAAAAGGTTCAGCAGGAGTTATCAAGGCCTGGAATTCTAGAAAAGCTCTTTAAAGATGTAGATTATGTTAAAAGAGTGAGGAATGTTTTTGCTGGCCAATATTCCTTAGATTTGGTGAGTGCCCATGTTTATTATTAGAAACTTAAACTACAAATGTCATTGATAAGAATCATTGTTACCAAAATAAAAATTCTGTCATATTACATGCAAAAAATTATACCTATACTTAATTATTTTAAGTTGTAAATTAAAGTTGTAATTGCTAATAGTGTAATCTTTCACTTTTTTTCTTCTCGAGGGCTACGTAATTGAGACTGTAGCTGGGATATGAACATATTGACTACCAAAATTTGCCAGATTAATTTGAAATTTTATATCTTATATCATTAATCTAAATTTGTTTGGTAGTTTGATTTTCTCACTTCTATTGTACACAGTATTTGCTTTTGTTTAGTTGTGAATAACCTTTTTGTCCTATGATGTATCTATTAAAAGGATAACCAGAATGTTTTCTGCTTCTTATCAGGACTCTAGTGGGGATGAAATTGTAAAAGAAACATTACAAAATCCACAGAACTATGTCATGAAACCCCAGCGGGAAGGAGGAGGTAAGCTTATATGAAAAAAAGCTGATCATTTTGCACTAAGAGTACTTCAATTCGTTAAGATAATGAGATGAACCAGTTACATTGAACAGTACCTGAGCCTACTACTGACCCTTTCTATCAAAAGTAAAATATCTTAGTATTCAAGTTAAATTATAACTAATAATTAGACTTTTGAATGTGTTAAACTTGACAATAATATTCAACAGATAAGGATTTGAGTAATCAGAATATCTTGTCATTGGTTACCACAGTCTCTAAGCCTAACTAGACTTACTTCAGATCTTTTCATATAAGAACATTTCTACAGATTTCAAACAAATATAACTTAACACAAAAACATTTTCAGGAACGAAAAGAATGGTATCTAATAATAAAATAAAATCCTAGATTTGTATTTTTTCTTAAATTGTCTAAACTTTCCACTAAATTTTGTTTTTATTCTCTACACAAACTACATAGAAACATAAATTACTTCTTACACCACTTTATTTTCTCTACATTGAAGCCAATACTTTATAATCTTCTGAGCCATTGGTATTCAAACTGTGCCTGTAGCTATTTTTGAAGCTGAGTGTTATTAGTAGTTGTTCATATTACATGCTGCAAGGTTACAAAAGAGTACGAACAAGATGCCATACTAACAAAATCAGAGAATGATAAATCACTTGAGAAACAAAACCTTGAGAATTATGTTCTCAAGAGATTACAGTTTCTTAAAAAATACAAACTTATGCTTTGAGATGGGAAGAAAATCCCCCAAAAAGTGATAAGTGCATTGTTTAGGGGCAAGACTCATTGGAGCTATGTAAAAATATCAGTTTGAGCCTATTTTTCTTTGTAAATTACACTAAATAAATGCTACAAAATGTTAAGTTATTAATTCTAAAATAGAATTAATGAGGGCAGATTAGTAAAATAACTTATTATTTTTTGAAAAGAAACTATATTGTTACCTAGCCTGACCCGATACCATTGTAACAGGTCAGGTCATAGGTTACCAATATTTCTTTTTCAGTTTTTGCTTCGTTTTTAGATTTATAGCCAGAAGTGGTAGCTAGTTCAATTCACAAAATAGTGTCAGTTGAAATATGTTAATGAATATCAATCAAGTTGAAACTGATTGTATATATATTAAATGGAATTTTCTGGTTAAGTAAAGTGAAAATTCTAAGATGAAAGGAAGTATTTTTTTCAAACTTGTATCTTAACAAACGTTTTTTATTGTTTACAGCAAAAACTAGATACTTTTCACTAAGTGTTTGCTGAGATTCATGCAATTTGGTTAAGTTTTTCTAATGAGAAGGAAAAATATCAATAGTGTGTTGATTAAATTAAATCAAAGCTGGGATTAGGTACCCTAGACTGAGATTAAAATTGTTATATTAACCTGTAGAAGATGAACTACATGCATCTTGCAGAGTCATGGAAAAAATTAATGTGTTTCATGTAATGAAGTTTTCCATGATTTGTTTATTTCTTAAGAAAACTGAAAGACTTGTAAATTTTGCTTGAACATATTTCTGTGTTTATAGTTATATACATTATATTATACTTACATGTGTATTTGTATGTGTGATATACATTGGTCCCCACACACATGCACACAATAGTCTGAAGGCTTATAACACTAAAAATAGTTACCATGCCTGTAGTGGGCAGAACACAGATAGCCCATTGTATAGCTTTGTGCTTACAATAAAAAATATATTATCTAGGACACAATATTTATGGAGAAGAAGTTAAAACCAAATTGACAGAACTTGGAAGATCTAAAGAGCGAGAAGCCTACATCTTAATGGAAAGAATTAAACCACCTTCTATTGAGAATTACATCATTCGAAGAAAAGAACCAACAGCCAAGATCTCAGTAATTGGAGAACTTGGTATCTATGGGGTTGTTCTAGGGTAAGAAACATGTAAATTAACAGAAAATCAAACTGGAATAAATTCTGGTTTAACTTCAATTTTCTAGAATGAATAAGTGGACATGTATATGAGAAAATTTGTTTAAATAAGTTATAATTATTCCAGTTGTAAATTTGAAAAATAAAATAAGTGCTTTCTTTGTCTGCCCTCTAACCATTAACTGTAGAGTTCCACATTAAAGATGTAAGGTTACACAAACAGACTGACTGTTAACTGCTTAAGTTCTACATAAAAAACATGAGGCTGTATACACAGTCTTCTGAATATGAATTGTAGAGCTCCATATGAAATATATTAGGCTGCACATTCTTCCTGTTTGCTGAATATTATAATATAAATCTGTATAATACAATTTAAAGTGGTAGATTGCTCTCTTTTTTTTCAGTTTTGGCTGCTAATTCTTAAACCTATATCATTCTGCATCCCTCCCTAATCTTCTGTGTTCATTGCTAGTAACTAGACCTGTAATATTCCTCTCTCTCCTCCTCCTTCAGTATAACTAGTGCCTAGATCTGTAATATTCCTCTTTCTCCCTCTTCTCCAGTTTTTATTGTTAGTACCTTGACCTGTATTATTCCTCTCTTTCTCCTTTCAGTTATATCAATACTGCCTAGACCTGCCTATCTCTCATCCCCTCTATTTTAGTTTTTATTGCTAGTACCTAGACCTGAAGTATTCTTTTCTCTTCCCCTTGTTCAGTTTTATTACTAGTGTCGGGACCTGTAATGTTCCTCTCTCTCCTCCTCCTTCTGTGTTTATTGCTAGTACCTGGACCTGTAATATTTCTCCCTTTCTCTCCTCCTTCTGTGTTTATTGCTAGTACCTGGACCTGTAATATTTCTCTCTCTCTCCTCCTTCTGTGTTTATTGCTAGTACCTGGACCTGTAATATTCCTCTCTCTCTCCTCCTCCTTCTGTGTTTATTGCTAGTTCCTAGACCTGTAGTATTCTTCTATCTTCTCCCTTCATTAGTTTTTATTGCCAATACCTAGACCTGTAGTATTTCTCCCTCTTCTCCAGTTTTTATTGCTAATACCTAGATCTGTAGTATCCTGCCTTCTCTCTTCAGTTTTGGCTGCTTATTCCTGGACTTGTGCTACTCTCCAAACTAAACATTTCTGATTATGAAAATTGACATGTTATTAGTTGAATATATATATATATATGTGTGTGTGTATATATATATATATATATATATATATATA